AAGAGATCTTTATGTGCTCAAGAAATATCCCAACATAGGTACCCGGCAGGCTACCTGGAAGTTCAGGCCATCAGGCTCTGCCTTAGAGACAATAGTCACATCACCATCATGAATGTATACAATCCAAACAAACCAATGACATATAATGAAATATCTTTTTATGTAAATCAACTGTCCCCCACATTCATTATAGTAGGGGACTTTAATGCACATCATAGTCTGCTTTCCTCCACTTGCTTGGGCCCAGATGTAGCAGGACGCTCTTTGGAGGACCTCATAATAAACACCTCTGCAGTATTACTAAATGACACAGACTTCTATGCATATATTGACAGACGCAGTGGAGCGAGGGGGTGCCTGGACTTGGTCCTTGTTTCTGCTGACATTGCACCACTCTTTGAACTAAAACTACTACAGGATGTTGGCAGTGACCACTTCCCTCTCTGTGCTGCAGCACCTCTGCCATTATTGTGGATGCAGGATGCGCCAGTCCCCCGTTGGAAGATTGGGAGCCAGTCCTTAACCTCTTTTGAAGGAGCTGTCGCTCCGTCCAAACTTATATGCCCAACATCTGTGGATGAGCTGAGCCAGGATGTCTCACAGAGAATACTTGATGCCGCAAACATAAGCATTCCTCGCTCCTCAGGACATCCCTAAAATAAATTTAATTAATAAAATTAATTAAATAAATTTAATTTATTTTAGGGACACCCTTAAAAATGCATTTACAGTAGAACCTCAGTTAGCAAAGGTTCCAGTTAACAAAAAAATTGATTAACAACAAAGAATTTTGATTACATTTACTTTGCTCAGCGAAAATAAATTCGCTTATCAAAAATTAGTGCATCATTGGTTGTCACAAAATTGTACATAGAATGTTATATATAGAATTGTGCACCGGGCATCATAGAATGAAAAGTAATTGACCTAAACTACGATTTATTTCTCCAAAACATATGATGGTTATCACTAAAACATTATTTTCTGTTTCAGGTATGTTTTTCACAATCTTTTTTGTTATAGTGAAATCACTCGACTCAATTCTTACAATTGGCTAATCTAATCTGAAACCGGATTTTAATGAAATTTTGAAGTCAAAATGACAGCATCATTCGTCACTCTAATTTGGTTAAGTAAAACTAATGACATGCTTCTTTTTAGTTTACCCTGATTTTTTACAAAATATATGTTTTAAATTTTCCATGGTTATACCTTAATATTTAGGTAAATAAAATTACTGGCACTGATTTTTTTATTCATTCGGCCTGCATAAATATTGGAAATATGTAATGTGGCCCGCACGGTGAAAAGTTTGGAGACCCCTGCTTTAAGTATGCTTGTATTTGCTGATTTTAAGTGGTAAATTTAATAAATCAATAGACAATTGATTTAAGAGACGGTTTTAGACACATAAAAACTAATTCCGACACAGGGTGTCAGAATTACGACACACAGGGTGTCAGAATTACGACACACAGGGTGTCAGAATTACGACACACAGGGTGTCATATTTGGTATGCCGACACAGGGTGTTGGAATTAGCTACAAATTGCGATTTTGAAGCGCTGTCAGAATTAGTCTCACAATATGCCGCATTTAGTCTTACACAGTGTCGGAATTTAGTAATTTTGTAGATTTGAATTCTAAAGGCCGGTAAATAAATATGGCAACAGTTTGTGACGTTTCATCAATCATCATTGCTCTCGCATAGTGTGGTGTTTTGAGAGTGACGTTACTGACGTAACATGTCAACCAATCAGAACTTGAGTTGCGCATACGGTGATGATGATCTATTCATAAATTTATAGCCATTTATTTCTTGCTACATCCTTAAGGTGTCAGAATATGGTGTGTTTACCCTATTCACATCTCATGACATGATGACACTTTGTGGCACAGTGGCAAATTTCACCATATCCATTGATCAATTTAACTAAAATTTATTGACTTGCTCTACAATTACAGTATACATACAATTTGATACAATGCAAGAGTCAGTTACTCAGTTAAGACTTGAGAATGAGATGCAAATGTAAAGAAGTTAGAAACATCTCCTTTGCTCAGTCACCTAGGGCTAGGCTAGGCAAGGGGCGCAAGGCTTCCCTGCTATCAGCATAGATCCAGTTCCAGATGATCACCATTCTGGCATTCATCATTGCTTTCATTGGCTCCGACTGCGCGACCTAGAGTATAATTGGTTGCAATTAAAGAAAATAAGATTTTTGCTACTTTAAATAATTAGATTTCTAAAAGCACTTCATTACTTGTTAAGCCCTTCCACGTTAAAGAGGAGCAATTAATCATTTTCATTTTGCAATAATATTATTGTGCTTACCTGTAGATCCCGCACCATATCTGTCAGCGACACATGACTCACTACAATTTGTTGCGTCTAGCGGTCGCTGGCGAGGCCTTCCTCAATGTAGATGGGACTCTTAATGCGTTCTTGCAAATAAAGAACGTGAATGACAGTGAATTTTTGGGCAGGCATTTTAGGAAATTGATTATATGTTACCATAACGAGCGAAAATAAATGTTTAAATGGCCATAAAGAAATAGGCCATGGGCCGATTTCTTCAGTGCCGACACTTCTATTCTATATAACTTTTGCTGTAAACAGCTGAGTACTAATAAGACGCTACAGATCTTTAAGGTGAAATATCCTTTCATTGTTTGCGACTTGACGAGGGTGCCATCGCTGTTTCAAGACTTTATTGAAATACAATTTAAAGTTACATATGGTATAGTATGATAGTATCTTCGGCGTTAAGGAATAGGCGTGGAAAAGTACAATTACTGATTTTTATCTACTTATATTTCAAATTTGAATAAAATCCGTTCATTATTGACGGATTTATGAGTGCCATAGTTGAAAATGAAGTTAGGTTTTCCGTATTAACAAAAAAGTTATTGATGTAAAAATCAGAAAAAATTCCGTCCGCAAATTACTGATATTATCTACTTATATTTCAAATTTGAATAAAATCCGTTCATTATTGAAGGATTTATGAGTGCCAGAGTTGAAAATGAATTTAGGTTTTGCATTCGAGTTCGCAGGCCAGTTCGCACGCGAGTTCGCTGAAGTGTCGGAACGGTTGGAAAAGTCCGTCATATACGTATATTTTATGAAAACAATCACTAAATTGATTTATACACATAAATTTTTAGAGACTTGAAAACATTTTTACTAAATTAATTTCAGGCATACACAGCAGTGCTAGAAAAAAATTTGTTTATTAGTTTCAATATCGGACCATTCTCCGGTCGGACTTGCGGCCTGTCTCCTAGATTCACTGAATCGACACTTCAGTGAACAAGAAATATCTCCCTAAGTGACCCTGAAACTAATGAAGGAAGCTCGATGAAACTTTGCACATTCATTCATTAAGCCTGATGGTGATGTCTATGACGTGATAGTTTTTCCATTTCGCCTTCGTTTGCAAGGTATAAGGCTAAACGCGGAATCCATTAAAAAAAACTAATTTTGATGAAGCATCATCCCATTATTACAGTTCACTTACGTCGCAAACGAAGGCGAAATAAAAAAAAAAGTATCACGACCTAAACATCGCCGTTAGGTTCTAATGAGTGCATGTGCAGAGTTCCACCGAGCTACGTTGATTGGTTTGGGATATATTTCATTTTCGCTGAATCTTGGAGACTGAACGTATAATTATCCGAGAGGAATTAGCTTCCTGGTGTTTTAAACAATCATTCCCAATAAAGAAAAAACAATCCGGTAAGACAAAGTTTATCTGCCATTTTGCTTTAGCGTAAATCACATAAACGAGGATAATTTAGTTGATTGCTATTTGCTACGCACACAACACATATGTACAAACAAGACTTTAGTCGCAGCACTAAAAGCAACATTAAAGCTAATTCGTAGGGTTTTATGTAGTTAAAAAAAATTCGTTACAATGTCACCTATTTGAGGCTATTTCTAAATAGCCAACTAAAATGTCAATAGAAGAAAATACATATAACAAACATTTTGCCTCAGGTCATGAGAAACTGGTGGTGGAAACGAACATTTCTTACAATATTCTGCAAATTCTGCAAAGGCCCGCTGGGCCAAAGGACGAATGGGTGGTGACAGTACGGGGTGCGATTGCGAAAGAGTGGGATGAAAAAGAGTGGAAAAGAGAAATAAATAAGCGAGTGAAAGACTATGGGCTGAAGGTGTGGGAGCAAGGAATGGAGGGAAAGGACACTCTAAGACTTTATCAGATGAAAGCGATGCCAAATATGTATGTATGTATGATGGTAGTAGAGGTGGGGACCTTCTGTTTTGTGTTAGGGCAGGCGCGCTAGGTGTGAATGGACGTACTTACAGGTGGAATGAGAGTAGGGAAGATAAATGTTTTATGTGCGTTGGGGATGAGAAGGAAACTGTGGAGCACTTGTTGATGGAATGTGGGCGTATGAGAGAGAGCGTCAGTCTATGGTGGAGGTGATGGGGAATGGGGGAGGTGACATTAACGAAGTGGGGCATGAGAGAACAAGCGAAGATTGGATGGCAATGATTATGGGTCAGTCTGAGGGAGCAACTACGGCTATGTTTGAGAGTGTGAAGAGATTTGGAGAACGTGTAGAGGATGAGGGAGAGGAGGAGGATAAGAGTAGGGTCTTGAGGAATGGAGGGTTGAGAGAGGGGAGGGTGGGAAGACATGTGACAGTGCCGAATTGTTTTAGTACGCTGTTTTATTATTTAGGTTGTTGCAAAACGAAACGAAAATGTTAAGTTTTTTTTTTCTTAGGACTGCTGTGAATACGGTTTAATTGAACTTTTTTGTTATGATACGAGTGTGAACTTTTAATTTTTGACTAGCAAAAGTTTTTAGGCAGCGTGTGTGACCGATATAAATATCGTGACCGGAGGTCACCACGCATTTCAATTTCATGACACACGAATCTTTGTCTCCAACAAATTTGGGTATATATGAGCCATTAGGAATAGCATTGTCTTGAAGTGGATTGGCTTTATTAAACAAAAATGTTTCTTTTAGTTCGATGAGACCTTCAACAGATTCGTGAGAGAACGCCCCCTCATGCGGTGACACGCGGTCAAAAGCGTCGCCTCGGACGCTTCTCCTCTTGCGAGTGTTGGCCTCGAAGCATGGCAGTGGCTTGAGCCCTTGCAGAGCTCAAGCTCGCAACGGATTACAAAATCAGCTGCTTTGCTTGCATCAAAATCTTGTCGAAATTTAGAATAGGATTCTTAAAGAGGACCGATACTTAGAAATAGTGCTCGCAAAAGACAAACTTGAAATTTCATTAATCTCAGTGGACTTAATGGTAAATTTTATTGTAGAAATAGGCTCTTGAATCATAATCGTTTGTCAAGGGTTTTGAGGAATTCTTGCGCCATTCAAAGTGCACATTTCTTTTAAAATATGTAATTGACTAAACATTAAATTATATAATAAATTCGTAAGCAGCATAGAAAGCAAGTCTATGACCCAATTTGCATAAACGAGTTAATCAAAGGTCATTGACCACTTACACACAATCTTACCCCGAATCTTGGCCATCAAAATTTTATTAACGACCATTTACCCACGATAAAAACCTGACCATTACCTCGATTGGCCGAGCGCTCACATTATTTTTTAACCACCTGCTTTAATAAAATTTGGAAACTGCTCGTTACTAATAACCTAGATCGAGTGTCAAAATGGAAGATACTTCTCTGTGATGTATAATTGCTTTAATTTTTTGAAATTCTTTCCAGAACCTGGGTGCTCATCTTTTTATCGACACAAAACTATATGGTACTTTGTACGTTTCATTACGCAGTTCTTGAAACTACGCAAAGGGCATATTGCAGGCAATGTAATCACTGTGAATATTATTCAGATCAATGAAAAGGTACTCGAATAGAGATAATAATTTTGAAATCGTTCTAATGGTTTGACTTAGTAATATGTGATAGCTTTGGGATAAGTAAATTGAACTACAATTATTGTATCTTCCGCGGGTGTATCATCAGCTGGATTATTCTATTGTGATAATCGCTCTAGCTCATTAGTAACAGTTTCCAAATTCTAATGAAAGATGATGGTTAAAAAACTATTTTGAGCACTCGGTCAATCAAGGTAATGGTCAGGTTTTGATCAGGGGTAAATGGTCGTTGAGAAAATTTGATGGCCAAGATTCGGGTTAAGATTGTGGGTAAACGGTCAGTAACCTGCATGTGATTAACCACTTTATGCAAACTGTGCCCATAGGCTCGCTTTCTATGCTACTTTTGTATTTTGAGATATGAGTAGAGCATCAGATCAGCTCTAACGCCGTTGCTGTCTCTGGACTTGTCGAAACGAGTCATGAGGTCAGGTCTGAGGAGACAGCCTGACTCGTCCAGCAGTTGCACGGAAGATTTGCCTCTGTTTGAGGCGCTGCAGTTCACCACGTTCGCGTCCATATTCTTTCCGGGATCTTGTGTTTGAAATTAAAATACAAGCATTCGTTAAATGAGCTTATTTACCCTATTTATTTCTTCAATATTATGATATATATCATGTGAACCAGAAACACAAAATTTATGTTATTAAAAAAAAAAAACGACGAAACAAGGAATAAAGATGCTTAAAATAGTAAGTCTTTCCAACTATTCCATGATTTAATAAATTGTTATGATAATAGTTATCGCTGTTGCCGGCATTACCCTGGATGTAGATGACCATGGAGGACTCAGTGCCGGCGTAGATGTAACCTGAGGCGGGGGCGGCGAGGGGGATGGGTCCTTGCTGCACCTCCATGAGTGTGTTGATGGACCGCTTGTCAAACTCTACTGAGACCTGCCAAGAAGATGGCATCGCTTCATTGTTTACAAAGTCGTTTGTCTTTATTTCATAATTGTTTATTTATTCAACTTTATGATCTAACATCCCGATCAATTCTGATATAAATCATGAATAATCAAAAATGGTATTTTTTAAATTTATTTCATAATTTATTCCAACAAGCAAATTTAAAAATAATAAACAGAAAATTTTTTAAAATTTAAGAAGCATAAAGAGAAACAAGCGAAGAAAGATCACTTTCTTTTCACTTAAATAATTTCAAGAATTTCTAATAATATGAGCGAACTCAAACTCTACGTAAATAAAAAATTATTATAGGTAATTATAGGTTAAATTTATCAATTATTATTTAGTTCAAGCCCAGGCGATAGTATTTTCCTTATTAAAGTTAATAGATTTTCAAAATATTATTCAAATGATCAAAATTCTTAGAAGCAATTAAAGTTAATTAATTCTGAAAATATTATTCAAATGATCAAAATTCAGAGAAGCAATTAAAGTTAATTAATTCTNAACCAAACAAATCAATAAACAAATCACTAAATAATGTGTACGTATTGAGTAATTTTATAACACCTCCGTGATCAGCGGGTCCAGCTAACAACCAAACAAATCAATAAACAAATCACTAAATAATGTGTACGTATTGAGTAATTTTATAACACCTCCGTGATCAGCGGGTCCAGCTAACAACCAAACAAATCAATAAACAAATCACTAAATAATGTGTACGTATTGAATAATTTTATAACACCTCCGTGATCAGCGGGTCCAGCTAACAACCAAACAAATCAATAAATAATGTCTACGTATTGAATAATTCAACAAGAAACCAAATCATTGCATAAATCACTAAATAATGTCTACGTATTGAATAATTTAACAAGAAACAAATTGATATTTGCTAGAATGAGGCAAAATAGGGCTTTTTATAAGAAATGATAAACTCGGAACTAAACGTTCCCTAGTATTTTAAACGTTTGTTCCTGTTTTGTGTTTTATAATAAGGCTTCCATTTAAGGTTGGCTATTATTAACAGATTGAAAGACGCTAATGTAGTCACATCCTGCTAGTCTCTTACCATACTTACATTGTACGTAAAGTACACAGGCCGAAGTTCTTAATTCGCATTATTTCAAGCTGATTTTCAAGTATAATTTAAAAAATTGCTTAATTATATTGAACAAAAAGTAAAAGATCGTTCATTGTGAATAAGAATTGCCTATTATGATGACACGCTGAGAGAAGACGGCTGAACGTCAGCGCTTGCCTGTATTATGATTGTGTTCTCGTAGAAGCCATCTTTAGTTGAGCGACCGCTCACCATCTCTCCGGCAGTCCCGCAATCGTCAACAGGAATCAAAAACCTGACAATAACGAGCGATGATGGAGGATAATTATTAATATAATAGCGATTCACACCAATCATATTACATAGATTTAATCTTAAGTAAATAATGACTACCGGAATTCCTTATAGTCTATACTTGTGTCATGCCGACTATGATAACCCGAGCTCCTCCTCCTTGTGTCATGCATCCCAACTTAGACAGAGCTGCTCATCTCTCATTGCGATGCAGTGCGTCAACGCATTTTTGCGTCAGGAAACTTTTTCCACCAGGTAATGAAAATTGCTAATTACCTCCTAATACCTATTACTTATTTTTAGTGATATCTTAATTAGATTTTCTCAGCTAAAAGGTGTAATTTCAATATTTTTGTTCACTTAAATTAATTCAATATTTCTTTCTGCAGCGCAAGTTATCTCAATTAAATAGAACTCACGAGAACTCCTTGGCTCCAAACTTGTTGTCTTCTCCCACGTAATTGCATCGCTTGTCGGCGTAGTGGCCCTTCGAGTAAATAATGCCTGGAAACGCCTGGTCAAAGACCACGTTCACAGTCATTCCCAGCCGTCCGCATTTTGCCTTTAAGGTCTGCATGGTAGGCATCCCGGCTCCGGATAATGCCCGTAATTGGGCGGACGAAGTGACTGGCTGGAAGATAGCACCTGAAGAAAGTATCAGTTTTATAGATTAATGAGTATGTGCGAATATTTAGTTCAATCCAATACAATTTAGTTCAATCCAATCAATCCAATACATTTGCAGGCGAATAAAGCTATAGTGTTACAGCAATTGAAGAAGAGTGCAGATTCTTCCCGATGTTACGTCAGTGTGAGTTTGTTTGTTCGGTAGCCCCAAATCAGGATTATTGTCAAATACCTTTCATTGTTAGTATTTAGAATTATCCAAACATAATTTATGCACTTATAAATTTTTCTATTATTTATTACTAAATGCTGACAAAAATTACTGTATATTGCATTTTCATTCTATTTCGATCCCCCGATGGGCACATCACCGACCAATGAAATAGCATCTGAAGAAGGCATTTGAACATGCGGCTAAGAATTATGCATATCCAGCGACACAATGCAATCAATTATTAAATTAATTATAGTGTAAAAACGCTTTTCGTTTTTGAGTTTGGGTTGCCGTAAGTGCGCGTTCAGGTTTTAGGATAACCACGGTTTCAACAACAAATTTCCTTTTCATTGAATGAAAAATTGTATCTGTAGGAACAAACATAAATATATTAACCCTATAAACTTCAATGTATGCTTATAATATTTAAATATAACAAATGATCATCAAAACTATAAACAAGTTATAAGAAAGGCATAAATCAACGCACCGAAATATTGTGGGCAGTTTTGACGCGGGCTACGAACAACTGATCTGACAAGAAACTATTTGATACGTCGTTGACTAGGTTTTACACTCTAAAGGTCTGATGAACAAGTAAATCGTAGGAGCGCATAAAAAATAGACTATTGAAAACTAAGCTAACAAAAGGTTCGCTAAAAATATTTACATATAGTATGTTACAACAACTACAGGCTAAACGTCCGAATGAAAACCTAATTTATGAATAAGATTAAAAAAAAAGATGCTTCACTTCGTTTACGAGGAAAGTGCGGAGCAAGTAAACAGGCAGACAAAACAGTACATGTTAAATATATATGCAACGTTTCAATCACGTGTTAATAACCATTTTGAGGTTGGCTTCAAGTGGGAGTTCCCAATACAATCACAGTTCGAGAACAATAAGTTGGAAGCATCATTAAATGTTTCATATGGTTTGTCATAAATAATATTCAAGGTTACAGTAGGTGTATTTCAATTGTTCTATGAACCATATAAAACATATCGAGTTATCATGCTTGAGGCTACCACAAGAGAACGCCTTCAAGAACAGACTAGACGAAGCTAGGCAGGAGCATATGTTCAGTCTTTAAATGCCTAGCAAATTATGGACCAGGCAGTAAGTCCAGCAGCTATCTCAATCAATCGTCAGTTATGGAAAGATCGGGTTCCAAAGGCCGGATCCCTTGTAAATCAAGTCACGAAAAGTTCAAGAATCGGCAACAGGCCATGGGCTTTTTGTTCAGTGCCGACACTTCTATTCTGAGAGAACACGAATAACAGCTTGGAAACGTACGCATCTCGTCTTAAACGGATCAAAATTGTAGATTGTTACAAATTCCGTCCTATACTTCTATTCCATTCTAATTTATTCTATTCTATTCTGAGAGAACACGAATAACACTAGCGGATCTAAGCTTGGAAACGTACGCATCTCGTCTTAATTAAACGGATCAAAATTGTAGATTGTTACAAATTCCGTCCTAAACGGATCAAAATTGTAGATTACTACAACTTCTGTCCTTTAATGATCAAAATTGTAGGCTGTTACCACTTACCATCAAAAGAGTGAAGCCTGGTAGCAATCGCCCCATGTCGATACGAGGATGCGCTGGGATCGTGAAGGATCTGTAGGTACACACCAGAAATAAGATCAAATGACAAGAAACGAGCGTTTATCAGTAATGAATATGAAAATTATATTTCTGCTATAGCTATTATTNCGGTCCACGCAAGGAAGTCATCTTGTCAATCGGTTGTTTAAAGATTCACGAAGATCATACTATATGACACTGGCCTAAGTTGCAAACACAGGAATAAAGGATTGACGGAGCAGCGCACATCCGCTTGCAGCCACAGCCGGCGCAGAATCGAGCTAGCTAGTATAAGGTGATTCCACAATTTGCAATAACGATACATTTAGTGACATTCTTGAGTCCATCCAGTAGGCTTTGATTGTTATAGTTTATTGTTGTGAAACGAATCATAATTATAATAAATAAATTAGTTCCTAGAATCCAGTAGGGTTTGATTGTTATAGTTTATTGTTATGAAACGAATCATAACTCTAATAAATAAATTAGTTCCTAGAATCTAACTAGTTTTTCCAACGGTTTAAAAGCTGATAGGTTTTTTACAATGAGCGTTGCAACCATTTGTCGCCATCGAACGTACAACTCGCTCAATTTCTGAACCGACTATACGCACCACAATGGACGTCTTGAGTGGTACCACAAACCAACTTCTGAACCGACTATACGCACCACAATGGGTGTCTGAATGGTACCACGAACCAACTTCTGAGCCGACTATACGCACCACAATGGGTGTCTGAATGGTACCACGAACCAACTTCTGAGCCGACTATACGCACCACAATGGATGTCTTGAGTGGTACCACGAACCAACTTCTCAACCGACTGCGCACCATATATGTCTTCAGTCATTCTAGGAGCCAAATTACAAATAAAAGTTCCGACCTCTTACAAAAATCGGTCAGCTCCTCAAACAGACTTTTCAAGAAGGTTACGTGCAACGCAGACTAATTATTATTTCGTCGAGGCGTCACACTTGGCTCTAGATTATTTAANCTGTCTCTTATACACATCTAGATGTGTATAAGAGACAGGAACTATGCTATCTGAAACCTAACCTCAGATGCGGTGAACGTAAAATTACGTAATTTAACGATGCCCGGAAGTCAGATTCGATCCGCGGCCTGGTGGTGCGCGGCAGGTGGTGGTCAAGGCCGGAGGAGGACAAAGCCGAGTGGTGCACGGCTGATTGGTGGAAATCCGGAGAGATCCAAGGCGTTCGATTCAGGGCTTATTGGTGCACAAAATTGGTGGTGCACGGCTGCGCTCCCATAGAAGCCTTTTGCCAATGGCATTCATCTTTACCGGAAGCTGAGTTTGCAACCATGCATGTTCTTTTCACGACTCGCGCCAACTGCATATACAGTTTTTTTATTTTTAAATCGTGAAATATTATGTTCACCGAATGCCTTCTCTGACTCTATTGTTCACCACCAAAGCTGTGAATCATTCTCGCGCTTTGGTGTGCAGCGCCGCGACATGACGTCTTGAGCCTCACGAGAAACATTTAATTGACGCCTTCGTACCAGGAAAAGTACATTTATAGGTAGCCCCAGCGGTCGAAGAAAGCGAAACCGTTCCTTAGGCTCTCGAAAACTCTGATGGAATGTGAAGCCGATATTTCTAGTTTTATTGTTGTAACGGTGCTTTTCTTGAGTAAGCATTCTGTTTGATACGCTTCGGGCAACTCGAATTGAATAAAATCAAGCATTTTCTCGTTAATTTCTAGTCATTCAATGTAGTTCGTGAAGTGAAAATATTCAGAAATATCAACATTTTTGATGACTATAACGCATAAAAATGTTCATTCCTGTTCTAGCTTCCCAATGAGCAGCATAAGGACAAAGGTTTCCCTTTCTAAATTGCCAGGAAAGTCAAACCAAACGTGTCGACAAAGCTGGCCCTCCCTGACGCCAAATGTCAGCTTGGCCGCCCTCTCTTCGAGTAAACAGAATCATCAACTGTGTTTGTGCCAGTTGATATCATGGGAATAATTATCAAGTCTACGATGAACACTACATATAACCAGCGTTTCGCTGCTTCAATGGAATACGGTGGATGTCGTGCTTGGCACATTAAACGCAGCCCAGGAAGGACATTTTGCTGCGCCATAATAGGATGTATGTAGGAGTGGAACACGGTTAGGGATACGTGATGTAGGATGCCTCGACCGCCAATAACGCAACATTTAACCTGTATGCAACTTGAGTAATACTTATATTTCAGTGAAGTCTTAGTACTATATAGGAAATATTCTACGAAACATTTACAACTATGATCTTGTGATGGGAAAGCTCCAGAACCGGTTCCTGCTCTCGAAAATTCCGTAGTCCTGAGTCAGACATCCCTGCCACAAAGATTAATATCTTCTTCCTGCTGCATGTGTCCAGACATCGAATTAACGGCCATGAACAATGAAGAGAATGGCTGTTTACGTTAGTAATGCCGCTGATGCTCAATGGAAACTCTTGTATTGAGAATAATCATATTTTCGTAAAATCGTCGAACGGCAGTTGTAATACTTAAAAATGAGATGCATTCCTAAATGACCTTGAATGTGACGTCTTATCCACTTGGAAATTGAAGTTTCAACACTAGCACAGCTATCGAAGGCGATCGATTGTACTACAAGGATTAAAAATCAATCGAATGTTAATAGGTTTTTGAGTCATTATGTTAATTTGCTCTGACGGCATGTTTCGTTGATCAACTGCATCGCTGATGCGCCCACAGCATTAAGAGACACCCACGCACTAATGCTCGCAGTGCAACAACCTCCCTGAGAAGTTTATTGCAGAAAATAAAAAGCAGCGCAGCCAATCTTATGGTCTCAAGTTCAAGTGAGTTGAGTTGATGGGCCATATTAGTGCTCTTTCCGTGTTGCTTTGCGAACGTCAAAAATTCCGGGCACCTACCCTTCCGCATGGAAAGTTTTTGCGTGGATGAGCGGAAAATAAACCAATTTAGTCGCCTTCTTATTTGATATTAATAGGAAGCTTTCTGAAAGTTGGTATCGACAGAGGATAAAATTGCGCTAATTACTGCTTATTTAACTCATTTTCAAAAAAATTATTTCTATTAGAAATTTAACGATCAAAAATAAACCGAGATTCGGTTCTGCTCACTTATAAAATACTTTATTAGGCACTTATTTTTTTAAGTTAGATACTCCATTCGTATATGGTTATTTACTTAAGCTCTTTAGCATTAATATTGCGAAAAAAAACTTCTCATATAAACCGTTAAAAATCGTTTTGATGAAGCAGTAAGATTGCTCCCTGCCATGTATCTGCAGTCCTTGGACCCAAACGTGAAGGCGTTATAACTCTTTATAGACCAAGATTGAAGAAAATTCACGCAAATAATCATTAGAAGAAAACTAAAATACTCTCTGGGGGGCCCGGGGGGTCTGCCGGGCCCCTTTTTTGCAAATATTTGTGAGATAAAAGGGTTCCGTGACAATTCTTCCTTACTTCTGAAGCTTCACCGGTTCTACATTTCGACAGTCCACCTCAAACGACGCTCCGTTTTCTTCGTGACAATGAATTGAATCATGGATAACTATACTTATTCAACCGTGTTGCTAAGTTAAAAGTTGTTTACATAATATAATGTCGAATAATATTCATTCTCCCGATAAAACCATCAATCGTAGTATGAGAAGGTATTTTTCAAGCAAATATTTGTTAAATTTCAATGTTAACTGAAAACTGCAATTAATAATTAATTCATTTAGTATGGGTTATTCTTAAATCTAATTATATACAATTTCTTTAAATAATGTTCAATCATAAAATGCCCATTAATACTTTTCTGAATCTAAATTGAAGTTTATACTTTATTAATAAATTTATATATTTATACTAAATTGAAGTCCACCACTGCGTCCAATACAGATTTTTCGTAGTGGGATTATTCTTAACTGCGATTTTTTGCTTTTTCAAGGTCTTTTAACTCGGTAACGTACAGCATTGAAGTAAATTCAAACAAATTAGAAAAAAAATGCTCTTATTATGGCCCCAAGTGTTGAGCTTAGGGCCCTGGCGTTCCCTCGATTTCTGCCGTCAAACAAGATTTCAAGTAGAATTTCGCTCAAGCCGTATTGCGAGGTATGATGACCATCGGTGTCCTGGAGTAGGCAGCGCTCGCAAATGCAACTAGTAAGTTGAGAAACTGTTACCACAAGAAGCTTTGAAGCTGTGTTGTTTGCAACCAACGACTAAGTACGTAAACTTTTTGCACTGTTACTTTGATAGAGGAAAACCGACACCCAGGTTATTGATGTTTGGAGTATTTAGGCCGGAGTTCGCATTTCCAACACGTTCAGTGAGTGTTGGAAATGCGAACTCTGGCCACAATCATGCACGGAATCGAAATAGAATTAATAGGAAATTAAACATGTCGTAAAATATACGTCATTTGCTGAGGTTAGGTTCAAGCCAGGAACAAGTTCCTATGGCGACAATCACATAGGGTGGTTAGGTTAGGGTTTGATTAGGGTAAGGCAAAGTTAGTTCAGGTTAGGTTAGGAAAGGTTAGGATAGGTTAAGTTAGGTCAGTTCTTGTTGGGTTATGTAAGGTTAGGCAAGGTAAGGTTAGGTGAAGTAGGGTTAGGTTAGGTGGGGTTAGGTTAGGTTAGGTTAGGATATGTTAGGCTGTGTTCAGTTCGGTTAGGTTAGGTTAAAGTTTCTTGGCTAGGTAAAACTAATGTAAGATTGTTTTAAACACTAATGATACACACAGGAAAAGGCCACAATTGGGGGATTGCTGTGTGTAGTAGGAAATGTGTGGCGAGAAGAAGAAGAGAGAAAAAGAAAAAAAAAAGTAAAAAAAAGTTTAGCGGCTGATCTGGTTAAGGCGAAGACAAGAACTCGTATATTCTCGTAACAAATACGTAGGACAAATATTCTCGTAGCTCGTTGTTTAAAATATACAGCACACGAGTTCGATAGACGACAAAGGTTCTACCTAGCGGCGCTGCTCTGAACCTCGTTATATGGCTGCCAATGTCGCCTCACATTGTAGAAAATGTTC